CCAAATTTTATATAATTTATAAATATATGAAATGTCAGATAATTGACAAAAGAAAAAAAAGCACTTGGCAACAGAGAAACAATAGTTTTTAAATTCTATAAAATCAAATTTCGCATTAAATTCGAGGGGTCAAATTTTTTGCTGAAGCAAATTTCACCAACGACACATGATCCTTACAGGTATGATGATGATGATGATGATGATATTACAATTATTATAAGTTCGCGCGCGGGGATAATGACATTGCAGGAAATCACGAGAGCGCGCCAGGTATTTTGTTTTTCTAGTCGTTCTGTTGCTATGCGAGTTTTTATAATTATAATAACACCATATATAGAAATACACGAGTGTGAATTCAGACATTGAAACTGAATTTTTGCTTCGTCGTCGCGGTTCACAGTAACCGTTAATAATCCCGGATGTCCAGCTAGCACATATTAAAATCGTCAGGAATATATATTATATACTCTCGATTAAAGTTCAAGAAACTCGGTTCGCAACACCGTCTAGAAACACGTCTAGACCTGCAAGATCTTAGTTTCTTGACTTTCTTTTAATAATCCTCAATTATATATATACAATTTAATGAGAAAGAGAAAATGATTTTTTTTTCGAAATAAACCGCGTGCGAGAAATTGAAAGTATATACACTAATGATTCCATTTGATTTTACTGATTGCAACAAAAATTACCAAATGGAATTTAATTTCAAAAATAAAATCAAAATCATTTTGGGGGATTATGAAAAATATCAAGGAGTAAATATATATTTTTGATTGACATGCGCGCAGAGTAAGAAAAGTTAGTGTGATTTTCCTAACTTTAGAAATGAATTTTGATTTGGATAAACAAAGAAAACATTGATCAGGATGAATGTTTAAAAAAAAGGACTGACAGGATGCCTCGCCTAGATCCTGTCTGAAGAAGTCCTACGAACCGTGAAATCATTTCCAGCGTGAATAAAAAGAACGAAAATGGCACTCTCTCTCTCTCTCTGTTTGTTTCAGTTGTTCCGATTCAGTGCTTCCAAAAAACGATTTCAAAAATCAACGCGCATATATATTTTAACATCTCTCGCTTTCCTCATCTTCTCTTTTATATATACATACAACTCTTCTCAGTTTCAATTTACTTCATTCGAGTCACCGAACAAAACCGCAACCACCCAAAGATTTTTTTTAACCTTATACATCAAATCACTTAAGCTTCTCAATTACAAATATCTGCCTGTAATTACATCCCATATATATCTTTTATTTCATTAAAAATTATTTCTCCAAGGATCAAAAATAAAATCTTTAAATTAAATTACCCTACTGCACAATCTGATTAATTATTTTTTTTTAAAATTGTAATAATAGAAATTTCTGTTTTAATTCTTAGAAAATATCAACTGAAGTTTTATACAATTACGGGTGACATTAAAATCTGCAATCTTAATTTTCAGAGGCTGCATATGTCTGTATAAATTAGTTAAGAAAATTTTTATTTTACAATTTTCTGAACAAATATCAGCTCAAAAATTGTTTATAGTTTTAGATTTAATTAAAAAGAATTCCTTCTAAATGTTGAGAAAATGGAATTCTTTAGTGCAAAAACAAAATTTTTAAAATAGTCACATTTTAAACATTTACAATATGTATCTAATTTTTTTCATTTTCAATCTTACTAATGTACTTTAAAATATTTTTGGATAATTTTTTGAAAATAACTTAAAAATGACTATATCTCATAAGATGCCCCTCCTTTTACAGTATAATTGATTTTGAAAAGAAAAGATAAAATATAAATGTTTAAAATTGATGTTTAACGAATTTTAAAGTGCATTTAAAAAGATTTAAAAAAAAGTTTTTTTAAAAAGTTATAATCGCTATAATCTCGAGAAGTAATCTGAAACGGACTATTGTCCTGGAAGCCCTATATATATATATATATACCTAAAAGTATTTTACAACACGACGTGACGAACCAAATACAATCAACTTAGCAAGGAACTGTCACACCAATTATAGGAACAAGAATTAACAAAAATAAAGTAAGACTTCCTTATGCTTTCGTTTTCGTCAAAAATAGACTTTTTCCATCTGTTCATGTATATGTCACACACAAAATTCCACTCCTGTCGCGTGTGTACAAAACTTTTTTTTTAAAAAAAGGGTCCTGCGTCTGCTCTCCCTCTAACATAAGGGGCGAAACTAAACCTATAAATAAAATCAACTGAAAAGGACACGAGAGAGTCGCTTTTTGATGCAAAGATTATTTTCCATACTCAAAATACATCCCAACCAAAAATTTCAGTATTATACCATAGTTCACTATTGGCGCAGTACTGGTTCAGTATTGGCTGCCGAGACTGGGCAGTCTGTACTGAACCAGTACTGGTATTTTCATTGTATCTGTACTGGTGCAGTACCACCCTGCTAGTACTGGAAAACCAGTACTGAGCCAATATTGGGCCAGTACTGGATCAAATAGATTTTCTTTTTGATTAATACTAGTTTACAAAAAGTTCTAGAGTGAACCTGATGAATCTTTTTGTTTAAATATTTTGTTTATAAAAATTTTTTCACCTTGATTTTAATTTTCAAAATTAAAATGTACTTTATTTTGCTTTTCTGTGGATAAAATTATTCAAACAAAAAATTTCCTGAGACCAAGTCTAAAACATTTTGCAAGATTTTCTTATTGTTTTCAGATATGCAATAAACCAGAAAAAATTTTTAAGCGATCAAACTAAAGATAAATAAATTTGTTTATAAAAAATTTATATTTTTTTAAATAAAAATTTTAAAAAATTTTCTTGATAACACTTGTTATAGATCAAAAAACAACTTTTATTTTCTTAAAAAAGTTTTTCAAAAATTCATTTTAATGCAAATATATATGTGATTAAAAATATATATTATATACTTTTGAAAAAAACTTAAAAATTTTTACCCGAAAATTTATAATGCTACAAAAAATTACGTATACTTTTTTTTCTCAGAACTTTAGTTTTACAATAAACATATTTTTATATTTATTTTTTGATTTTTTAAAATAATAATTTGCAATATATATATTATAATAAAGAATAAAAATTCTTGGTGTTTTCGATTTTATATAATAAAATATTAATTAGTTAGTTGACTAATTTAATTACAGTAGGACTCCGGTTATCCGAGCTAATGTGGACAGGACCTACCTCGGATAAGGCGAAAACTCGAATAATCCGAATTGTTAAATATTTATTACAATTTAACATTATTATTGTTTAAACAATTATTATTTAATACAAACGGGAAAATAATATTGTAAATATTCCATAATAATTTAAACAATTTGAATTTATTAAAAATATACTCATATTTATAAAAAACTAAAATTAAAAATAACTCGGATGACGCGGACTAGACTCGGATAATGCAGAATTTCCTACTGTGACACCACCTCGGATAATCGAGACCTCGGATAAAGCGAGCTCGAATAAACGGGGTTTTACTGTAATATTTAATTTGTGTTGGGTTACTAAAAATTTCACACACTTTTTCCTAAAAAAAACGTATTACCTGGAGCAGAGATTTCACTATTGCAGTGAAACTTATCTCTGTTACAGTTAAAGTTTCTTTTCGTATACAAGAAATTACAAAACTGCCAGTACTCGGCCAGTACTGAACCAGCAGTGGTTACCAGTACTGGTGCCAACTCTGATAGCCAATACTGGTAAAATGTTATCATCCCAAAGTTACGCCAACTCTGGCGCCAATACTTGGTACCAGTACTGCGCCAGTACTGCGCCAGTAGTAAATTTTTGATTGGGATCATTATCGTATTTTCCTTTTTTTCCTCACAAAATTCAAAATCAAAAGCGCACTATGAAAAGAAAAACCCAATCTTCACGGAAAGAAACTAATTCTATGCAAAATAAAATTCTATACCTAATAAAAATTCGGACAAATAAAAATTCTGTGACTGAATTTTTGGTTATATACAAATTCGAACAAATATAAATTCGGCTAAAAGAAAATTCGGACCCGAAAATTCTATTAAATAAAATTTTAAGAAATGAAAATTCTAAAATTTTAGGCATTATTCATGAGTATCGAAATTAATTAAACTGATATTTGCAGTTAAAATTTACAGCAGAAATTTTTGCTAGGGCAACTAATAATGTGATAGGGAATTATTTTTTTTTTTGCAACCACAGCAAATTTATTTACTGCTTCTATATTAATGAGAAAAGTTAGCAAAAAATTGGCAAAAATTCCGTGTTTTCATTAATGAGAGAGATTAAAATAGATGAGCATAGAAAAAGCAATGATCTCTTGAATGATAATGTTTATTTTAAATATATGTAACTATAGAGGAAGTATATGAATTTTTTTTTTTTTTCGCCATACAATATTCGAGAAAGTGAAACTGGCATTTGGAATCTTAACTGGAGGAGAGAAGCAGCAGTAGCTGTTCGTGTGTATAAATATAGTTTTAACATGGATGCACATCAAAAGGGGAATGCAGTTTAGTACATGAGTTTTAAAGGCTTGTGAAAGCCGCAAGAACGTTTAGAGTATAGTGCAGTTATAGGTTCAGTTACCGCGATAATCTTCTCAAGAGCGGGTCAGTGGTATGACTATTAACCTTCCTTTTTTGATTTGACTGTCGAAGGTTCATATATAACTACATCATATCATCTTTGTTCGCGTGTATACCGCAAAAATTTTCTGTTTACATCTTAACTGATTGGTGTGCCGAAAAAAAGGAGAGGATTTTTTTTTAAAAATGCTTGCCGCTCGACACAGGTGAACAAAATTATTATGAATATAACCTCATTTAAAATATTATTAACATTGTATAACCAATTTACTAATTTTAATTCAAGAATTTTTAAATTTCAGTAAAATTTTCAGTGAATATTTTTTCGGCACATTTATTTTGTGTACTCTGAATTGATTCAAATGTTTTGTATTTTCTCAGTACATGCAAAATAATTTAAAAGTAAAAAAAGAAAACAATTAACATACCCATAATGATGATGATGAGAATTTGGAAAATTTATTCCTATCAACGGAATTTGACCCAGAATTGTTCTACTTGTAGCGAATCGTATACCTAGAAAAAAAAACAATAGTTTAAATTAAATGTTTTGTTCTTTGGTGTATTGATTTTCATTGGAAAAATAATCAGAATTTTTTCTTAAATATAGCAGAGGTTAATTTTTTTTTTCTACAAAAGAAGAAAGGTTTGAACATTTGCATTCTTAACGTCTAAACGAAAAAACAAAACCTACTTCCGTTTTGAAACAACTCGAAAGGAACTGAAAATTTATAGTTTTTTTTTTAGAGGTTTCTTTATGTTGAAACATGTATAGTTGAATAACGTATATAATATGCGGTACAATATATAAGTTACCGAAAATACATAGACACTTTTTGTGTAACATGCATATATAGAGGAGAAAAGTGTTAGGGGATATACGATGACGGGTACCTCTTGTCCTGTTTGTGGTTACTCCATCCGGTAACACCAAGAGTACACACTCTCCACCAACTATAGCATTTCATACGGGATTTAATTTGCGCTCTTCCTGCGTCACGAAATAAGGCTTGGGTTTCTCGGGGCAGCGCATCGCGTAGCGCTTAGCGCTTCTTTATATAGTTATATGGGGTTTTAAATTCTATGGTGAATGCGCCCACATATTATAAGATCCATTCTATTTTTTTTTTCTCATTCTTTTTGTAATTTACGAACACTGTATCAACTGAATCTCATCTCCAAGGACAAACTTGACACATAATACAAAACTTGATATTACATTTAAAACACGATCTCAAAATTCTTATAATGTAAAGTGTTTTTAAAATTTAAATACCTCTCAATTTTTTTCCCCTCACCATACAAAGAGAATGAATCTCATCTTTCACTTACGTGAAAATATTCATAAAAACAGAAATATTTTTTCTTTTTTGAATATGAAAAATAGAATTCTAAATGTTGACAAGTGACCCCCGAATCCAGAAAGAGTTACAAGAGCCTTGAAATATTATTACTTTCAGAAACATTTCTTTCGCCTTCAAAATTATTAATACTTTTTATTTTTTTTTGTCATCTGTTCTTAAATTTCTCGAGCATATGAAATAATGTGTATAAGAATACCACATGCGACTTGAAAGCTAATATATTGTCAGCGTATAAATGTATATAGCGAATGTATCATGAACTTGAAATTAAAAAAATGGAGCATACGAATTTTAATTGCTTATATCAGAGTCATCGCGGTTAAAATATATGCGGGCCAAACGTAAACTCTTGTCTCTGGTATGTATATAGCTAATACGTGTACGTCTGAAGTCTCGTTAAACTGACCTCGCCCAAGTGCGCAATAAGCAACCGTGGTTCGGCACACGAAATAGCAAGTTCATGATTCATCTACACAACACAAATATTAAAAACAAAAAATTCCTTTTGAATTAATTCCCGCCTCAAAAAGTTGAAAAAATTCCATAATTATAAAAATTATACACTGTAAAAAAAAGGAGTTGAATTTCAACTCCCTAGGGGATGCTATAAAACTCCTTTTGGAATTGAAGCGTAGGAAGTTAATGCTTTGCGAGTTAATTTTATGCCTAGGGAGTTAGTTTTAAGGAGTTAATTTAATTATTAACTCCCTTGTTGAGTTGATTTTTAACTCCCAACTCCTGGTGCCGTTAACTCCTTAATTTTTTTACAGTGTATAAATAAAAATAAAAAATTTCAAGAAAAACTATAATTCGAGACGCATGAATAATCCGTACAAAAAAATTCGATGTGAATAATTTCGGTTATTTTAAATAATTTGAATTTCCATAATCAAAAGAATAAAGTACATTTCTAATCCAAAATACAAATCAGTACCCGCATGAAAAAAAAGCTAAAATGTCAACATTGAAACATGAAATTACAATAAGGGATGAAGACATTTTTATATTTAGCTGTCAATTGGAGGATTAAATTTCTCATGTTGCCTATCAATTAGAAAAGGATTAAACAAATGTGGGTTTGGCGTGAAAGTAGGATCGCGTAACGAATCTCTATTTCGTTATAAGATGATTATTATGCATGCCTCGAGGTTACATATATATTTTTTAATTTAGGCACGGGCCCTAAAGTTAGATTAGCTGCACGTGATGAGAGTCCGTTGACTTTTCCCCGATTTCCTATGCATATACGAGTTTTGTCACCCCGGATGGAAAGAGGTCTCCTCTCCTACAGGAAATGCTGAGGTTGAGGGGCCTTTTAAATCGAGGGGAACTCGTGTAGTAACGTTTTAAAAGTCCATATATACATTTATAGGATACACCGGAGAGAAAAAGGGGAGAATCCCAAATATATATAAGAACAGTCTATACTCTCATTTATTGCAATCAATATTATAAAAAAAAAAAAAAATATTCATATATCACAGGGTGGTAACTATTTGTAAAATCATTTCCTTCCGGTTCCCCCGTAGAAAAATATAACATTTTTATGATTATATATTCGGGGGGGAGGTCATTATATTTTTCACCCAAACGTCATTGTGGTCTATTTTTAGAAAAAATATAATTATCTTTTTTTTTTGGAAATGATTTTTGATATCTGTTAAATACAGGTGTTGTATTTTAATTTGCATATTTTCACGTTAAGTTGTAAGGAAAATATTTTTTTTCAGCTGCGGATAAATCTAATGTATATAAAAGTAATTAGATATTAGGGGAGAGTGGGGCAAAGTGGACATAATAACCGATTTTTTTCAGTGCATAAAATTAAAATAAACTGAATAATTTCCAAACAAATTTAAAAATTTTCATAACGAAATAACGACACGAAAACAAAACAAAATGACAGTTTCGGCAGCCTTTTCCAATAAATTAAAATATTTACCTTAATAGCGAATTTTCAGCTTCAAGAAGATTGTTTCAAACTAAATAGCCCTCGGAGATCCCTACTTTCAAGTTAAATTTCCATTCAGAAAATGTGAAAAATAACCGTAAAAATAGACCGAGTTTTAAAAAGTCTGTGTGAATTTTGTGTCCTTATCGTACGTGACACTCCAAGCCATCCAGGATAGGAATCTGCAAAAAGAAAAATTAAAATAATGTAATACTGTAAATATTTGACTCATTTTTTCTCTAGCTGTAAAATTAATTAATTTTCACATAACAATATTTTTAATTTTCATATAAATAATAAATGAAACAGCCAAAATTTCGTTGAAGAAAGCAGATTTATAAAAAAGGATAAGAGTAGAAGCTCATCCGCTTGACAACAAAAGTAATTTCTACTGTGTTGGAGAGCATTGCTCTTGCCACTTGTGCGTATCTTTTTTTTTTTTCTTTCTTTTTCTCCAAGTTGCAGGAGGTAAGCGCGTCTAATTACATAGTGAAGGTAAAATAAGGTAGTCTTTTGAAGATAAGGGGGTTGCATCGAAATTCACAAAAGGGGCAGCTAAAGTAGTCTTGCAACCTTTTTTGGATCGTCTCGCTGTTTTTTTTTCTCTTTTTTCATCTAACACCGTGACCATTCTTGAATTTCTTGGGAATATATTTCAAGGTTCGTGGATTACATGCAGGAAACAACAGTTGCTCTCAGATTTAGCATATGTTGTATATGTGTGAGTTTATATGTCTGAGGAAATCGAGGAGGAAATGCATATAACGCGTCCAAATGTTACGGACCGTGGAGAAATGAATGAATATATACATTCCATTCACGGCACCACCCTATAAGTTCATTACACTCAATAACGATTTATTAATGACTAATGTGTATTATGACTTTGGAAAGATTTCAATATTTTAATGCTTTCAACGATTCACTATATATATGAAGATATATAACTTTCTTAATCTGATTTATTAATACAATTTAAACGAATAATGTAATATTTGCTTTTTGTTAAAACCGTTCTTTTAATTAATTTTATAATTATATATTTAATAATATAATTATTTTATAATTTCATTATAAAAATAATTAAACGAATGTAGTAGAAAAATATTTGGCCAAGTAGAAGACTGTACGACGTTTTGTAATACCGATAGTGAACGCTAGGGGCGCTACCTTCGTGTCACGTGAATATTTCACGTTAATTTATAAAAATTGCCTAATTGAAGTAAAAACCTCTATCGCTTCCAGGAAATTAAAGAATAAATAATTTTTATAATGAAATTCTTCCAAATAAAGTTGAATAATGTATAATATATATTGCAAATGTATGAGTGCACAATTATAATGGTATAAATCGAGTTTTTTTTTTTTGAGCGCGGCATATGAAAGTGATTAATATTATTAGCACCGGCTTGGAATGAGAACAATTAGTCGAAGAAGGCACAATCTTTAATCACTAATTACAATTAGTTTCGTTGAAGATGAGAGGCTCTATATATTTTGAATGCAACGAAGCACGATATGAGAAACTTCTCATATTTCGCGTGCATTATGAGAAATGTGCATATATGAACTTTGGTGTATATTATACACATATAATATGCGCACAAAAATTTTGTAAACATTAATAATTAAAAATCTGTAAATAAATTTCTCTAAACAAATTAGAATAGTCATATAATATATAAAATGAGTTATATCTTGTTGAACGGAAATTATACTTATTACAATTGAAGCTCCGACACTTGGGAAATAAATAATACACTTTGAGAAAAAAAAACAACTTGGGTCAATTCCTATTCTGCACTGTTTTATGGTTTTACTCATCATTATCATCGCGGTCTTTCGTATAAATGCAAATTATTCCTTCTTTACATATACATCTTATCATTGTATCTTTGATTTAATTTTACATTAGCAAAGGCATCTTTTGCATTCCCTTTCAGTTAGTTTACACTGGATCACTTAAATTACCCGAAAAGATAAACTTTAACAGATCTATCATTTTTATCGTGATTTCTTTTTTATTCCACGGATACTTTTTAATTAATTCAGTTAATTATCCGTAAACTTTTCACTAGATATAATAGAGAAATAATGCGCATAAAAGACTATGAAAAAATTAATTTTAACAAAATTAAAAATCATTTTTAAATTTTTGAAAAAATTTAATTTCATTTTTATTTCATAAATAAAAATTAATATTTAATCTTGCAATTGTTTATGCATTGTGTAATAATTAAAATTTTAATTATTTTTTTGTTTAAAAAGGCGCATACATTAAAATAAAACAATAAATGAGTTAAGAGATAGTTTCCGGTGACAATATATTGTGATGAGAAATTATTTATAAATATATCATCACGTTGCGGAAACTGCGTTGACGATTGCATAACATGTATGTACTTGTCAATGCACGTATGATTATACAATATTGCAGTCTTCGCTTTGCCACGTTTGTGTTAAGATCACAATCAATTGTCGCTACTTTTTCAATATAAATTTTTTAAAAAAGGTATTTCAATTTAATTATTGATTTATATAATAAAACATAAGAATTTTATTTAATACTTTAAAATTATGAAAATTTGCACTCGGATAAAGATTAAAAAATTTAATTGTTTTCTCGCGATATTTAAATTATAGAAGTAAAAGAGATTGTGTACAGTTCTTTGTTTCCATTAAACCTATACGTATAGATATTATAGAGTCAAGTTTATGCATAAAATGAAAATAAACCAAAAATGTGTCCCATTTCTTATCTCCCGCATGCATTTCCTGTAATCATAGCAGGTTTCCTGAAAAACAGGCTCTTGAAGGTGCATGTGAGAAATTTATTTTATCTTGCTTCCCATTCAGTCATTGTGCGCCCTCTTTACTCTCACGATCGAGCGCAGATCTGCAAAACATGATCGTGAGGAACAAGAGTTTTTTGGTTCACCGATCAAAAAAAAAAAAAAAAAAAAAGTGTAACCTTGCACGCATATAATTCCATATTGTATATTAATTCTATACTTATAAAACCTCATGAGCAAAAAATTGATAAACATTACTTTGTGAAATGTATAAATTTTCACAAAAGACGCATGAATAAGCTATATATAAAATTAATTTCTTCGAAATTTTTATTTGTTCTAACATCTAGCAAAAAAATTTAGACTCCAATTTAAAAATTAACCAATCATATAATTTTGTTGATAAATTTTGATTGGTTGGCAGAGTTTCGAAGAGGAAAATTAAGTTCCTCTCAAAAAAAATGAAACGTCAAAGTAGACATTGAGTTATGAAAAAAAGTTTCTTCATCTTTTTGAGGAGAAAATTTATGTATTGAGGACTTGAGGTTTGCAATAGAAGTGGACATATTATGCTTTAGAATATTATGAATCGAGAATATATACGTACTACTATTAATCATGAATTCTACAAGTCACAACTATATATATATTGTAAATTTGGTGGGCATTCACCTCTAACGAAAACCGTAACAGGATATTCACCCTATGACTAAATTATTTTCCTCACAAACTAAAAATTTTCTATATATAAATACTTTTGGTCAATTTCAAAGAATAGTTCTAATATAATTATATATCTTCTAACGACTTTTTTTTAGACAAGGATTTATTGTACAGCAAATTAAAGTTTCTACTAGGAAAAATAGTGACCTACTTTTTCTATAATGATGTCTACAAAAAGAAATATTACCAAAAAGTTTTTTTAATTATTTTAAAATTCAAATTACAAATCATTAACATTAAGGGAGAAAATTGTGTTCAAGATTTGAAAAATCAAAATCAAATTACAATTATAAATAAAAAATAATAAAATGCACACTAACGGATTGTTTGTTATTAAAAGGGAAAAGAGAGACAGAGAGAAGAGTACATAACACACTTAACACTAATATGGCAATCGTGGCGGGATGAATGGCCGCATAATAAAATAACCGGTCGGCCGTTACTCTCGCAAATAAGCCAACAAGCAGAAGAGTATATAATATGTCTCTCTCTGTCTCTTAAACAAAATATAGGCTACATTGCAGTGCAACTGAGAAATGCAAAAAAATATTACCAACCAAGATTTTATGAAGAAAGTGGGGGGTATATGATGCGTATGAAGCATATCTTGCTATGTACCAAAGACTGAGAGTAAAAGACTTGGTAAAGAAAGTGAAATCAAAGGATCTCTTCAACTAGACGTGTGTTTGAGTTAGGTCAGTTGTATTTCAGCTTTGCTCGCGATCTGTTAGTTGCAACTCGCCACATAATATTGCCACACCGTCGCGCAAAATATACACAGGATTACAAAATTCAACAATAGAGGTTAGTCTTCCTATAAAAATTTAGTATATCTTCCGTATATAAAATCGGAAATGTTCAAATAAAAAAAAAAATTTTACTAATTTAAGTTCAAATATTATAAAATATAAATTAATTTAATTATTTATTATTTAATTATTAATATTAATATTAATTAATAATTCTATTGATATTAATTACTAATTATATTAGTATTAATTAATAATATTAAATAATTTTAATGTAGAAAACAAATTTTTTTTTTTGCGTTTAATAAAAAATAATAATGTATACACATCAAGTGAAAGACATGAGAGATTCCCACAAGAGTAAAGTTTACCGCCCTTGAGCTGCGGTAATCACGCGAGTGGGAATCTTCGTCTCCCACGAGGTGTTCACATTAATTTCTTTTAAGCGCCTTGCAAAAGGGAAATGCAATTTTAAGGGGTTCAAAAGATCGATCTACAATTATATTGTCAGTCCAATCGTGAAATTGGTAAATAAGGGGAAAACAAAGTAATTAAAAGATTATAATAGTAATAAAAAATTTCGATCCGATTTTTTATTTTGATAATTTCATTTATCTAAACTAAAATTCAATAAACAAAATTTTACAAATTTAAAAAATTATTAAATTATAATAATTAAAAAAAAAATTGTTTGTTAAAGAGTACAATTTTTTTTTTTTTATCAGAACGTCATTAATAATAATTGATTGGAAGTAAAAGCGATAAACGACACGCATGAATAAGCTCTGAAATTAATTTGATATAAGATTTTCATTTGACAGAATTTCATTATCTAAAATTTTAATTTAAAATAATTTTTGTTTGCATATTATTATTTAACAAAAATTCAATTTCATTTAAATAAAATTTAAATAATAATTTGTAATTTCGAATAAATAAAAATTCTACCAAAAATGAAAATTTTAATAAATTAATTTTAGAGTTTACTATCTCGGATAATAATTAAATAAAATGGAATAGCAGGAGGCTGCGAGATATTTAAATCCACGCGAAATGGAGATTTAAAAAAAAAATATTAAAGGGATATTGTGTACCGGCGCACGTTGTACGAGTTTGCGCGCGCAACTTTTCTACCCTTATGAATAGGCCACCCCCTCGTATGACTGAAATTATCGATCTCAAACATTCGTTTCGTCTCCGTTTCACCACCGTACCGGTGACGCCAAGTTTCGGTCTCTTGTGTCAAAAATATTTCAAAATCTTTTTTTATAAAAAAGTATAACTAACACTTTATTATAAACAACAAAAAAAAACCTTGATATTTAAATAATTTCTAAAACTCGATAAATCAAATTTCTAAATTTTTAACTTGTACCTAACGGTAAAGAAAAACAAAAACAAATGTCAAAGTTTCCTAACCTTCAAGTTGTGTGAAAACTCATTCTAAATAAATTTTTGTGTAAATTAAAAAATTTTATTTCGACAAATAATATGCGAGATTTGCCTATTTCGTAAGTACTTTTAATTTAATTTTTTAATAATTTATTCTTCACACTTTAATATTTTTGCAACGCTGAAGTTCTCAATTATGAAAAAAAAATATTTTTCATTTGAAAAATAACTAATTTTTTGTTAAGAAAATTTTTTTGACAAAGCCAGAAAAATTAGAATTAATTTAGAAAAATATTTTTTTCTTCTAAATTGTCGATTTTATAAATGTGAACCTCACGCGACGCTTTTTTTAACATTGTCATATTGTTTTTATTTTACTTTGTTGTTGTTAAAATGCGTTTGAATTCGAAAGAAAAAATATTTTTAGAAATTATGTTTTCAAGGAGAAGTTTTATTGTTCATGTTATCTGATACGTGTATATATGTGCAGTTGCATTTGTACTTTTGTTATAAAGCCTCAAGGTAACGCATTGAAAGTGTTTTTATTCAAAGAAAAGCATTTTTAGTGTGACAACTATTATTATTCTCGAGTTTATCGATATATATTTAATTAACCAACCTAAATTAAGTAATTGCATAGGTGAATATAACTTAATTATTTAAAGACAAATTGATTGTATAAATATTATTATTTACTTGTTTTGCACAAATTTATAGAGTTAAATATTTTTTAGTTTTTTTTTTTTAATTTGATTGAAAAAAAAATATTAATTTTCACGGAAAAAAATATAACTTTCAGGAAATATGAGTTATGTTTTTTTAATATTCGTAAATATTATTTAAAAAATTTTTTTTTGATGATACTCAAATTTAATTAAGTTACCAAGTCGTTTTGTCAATAATTTGCTTTATGTCAGCATTTTTGTTTCATCATTCAAATAACATAACGTTATTCTGAAATTATATAATATTTATAATATATTTATTGTAATATGCAACTAAAGTGATTTATATATATATATATGAAAGTACAATATGTATAAATGTACAAAGGAAAAAATTGTGAAATAAACGCTTTCTTGTGTTAATGCCAAGGTACTCCGGAAGTTGTGCAGTGTACGCATTCCACGTGCATTTAAACTAACGGCACAATCACCGACAAACCTCAACTTATCATCACAGTCCTTCTATTCACGTTTAACATATTTTTTTTTTAAACAATAAAATTATTGTAATTGTAAAAAAATTTCCATTTTAAAATGGAACTTTTCTAATATTAAACGAATTCTACTAAATTTTTAATTTTCTATACCAAATAAATTCTCGTAACCTAAATATTGTCCCTATTTTATAAAATATTTTCAAACTAAAAGAATAAATGATTTTTCATATTTTAATTCATTATTAAGAATTATTGAAAATTTGTTTCAGAGCACGCCTTGCAATGTCCTGCGATGACGCCAAAGAAGCAATTAGAATAAGAAATGTTCGAAGAAAATTATTTGTTGATGACGAAGACAAACAAGAAACAAATAAAAACAATAATATTAATTTAGTAGCTGAAGAAAGAAAACTTCATTTGCAACAAGCGAAAGAAAAGTGGAATTTTGATTTTGAAAAAGAAGAACCATTACCAGGCAATTATGAATGGACAAAAGTCAATGCTGAAAAGAACACATCAAAAGAGGAAGAAAAAGAAGAAATTAAATTAAAAAAACAAGAAGATTAAACGAATCGACTATAAAATCTAAAGCTTTTTTTTTACTACTTTTTAAATTCATAACTTTTATCTATTGTGAAATTTATAAATAGAATTGATGGAAAAAAGCGAAATTTAAGGGTGCAATTTTTCGCGAAATGTGTTTAAAATTGAACTGAACGAGAAGGCTGAGAAACTGATGTATATATAAATATTTATGCATTTGAAACTAAATGTAAAAACCAAGATTCTTTCTAGTCAAAACGAGGATATTATTTATGCAAAAAAAAAAAAACTTATACTATATAAAGAAACAAAGTGTAAAATTTGAAATTAATTTCTCACGTGATATTATAAAATTTGGATATTACAATTGGTAAATTTTTTTTTTTATTTATAATCAATTCTCTAATTATTATTAGTGCAATATATGTGTAAAGCATTGCGTAATTTATATATTTATTACAAGATTTTTATAATATATATATGATGATTCTTAAAAATTGTATTCTTTTATTTTTAATAATTCCTAAATTATTTTCCTATTCATTTCTATTTTTGGATAAATTTCTTTTTAATAATTTTTAAAAAAATTTATTTATAAAAATTTTTTTTCGTTTGATTAAATCCTGGCTCTTTCTCTCTCTCTCTCTTTTATATATAGTTTCGAAATTAAAAGAAGTGGCATGCAAAGCGCGCAAAAGAGGTGCGCACCTGGCGTTTTTTAAAGCATTGCTTTATACAGCCTCCTTACACCGAAGAGGTACTAACGTCTTATTGGCAAAAATTGCACTTCCGTTCTGCGAATTCCCACGGAAGTCGTACAATCGTACGAGAACGACAAAGGGATTTTTGCTTATGTACCACACCGGCTGTATACACCTCAGTTCGCAATCATTGTCCTGCTCTGCAAAATAACGATCGTTGCTTCCGCGAGAGGTAAGGTGGATGTGGGCGTAAACAAAAAAAAAAAAAAAATTCGAATATCCCAAATTTCAATATTAAATTATTACATTAAAGAAAAAACAAGAATGGAATCCTTCCTTAAAGAACATAAATTTCACATCAAAAATCAATGGCTAGAATTTTTATTTAATATATAGATTTCAATCAGATAGAATTTTCTTTTAGCCGAATTCATTTTTTTTTAAATTTTCGATTAAATGAAATTCGAACAAATGAAAATTCGACTACACCCAGAGAAATGATTTATTTGAACCAAATAAAATATATTTGAGTTAAATAAACGTATATTTGTCTCAGAGCCTACTAACTTATTTATTTGGCGTAAATAAAAATTTTACTTGTCAGAAATAAATTTTTCTTTGGCTCAAATAAATTTTTTATTTCAATGAAATGAAATATATTTGCAACAAATAAATGAGTTAGTAGGCTCGGAGACAAATATACCATTTCTCTGAGTGTAGAAAAGAATTCTGTCTAATAAATATTCGAGGGAATAATAATTTAATTTGAAAAAAAAAAATGTTTTAAGAAAACTATTTTTTCTGTCATTTAAACCACTTTTTTTCGAAAATCTCGAGCTAATATATAGATAACCTTATTATCATCAAACGAAAGAAAATCAAAACCAAATATTTTGTTTCAAAGTCCAAAAGTGCGTAATATTTATAATCTATCTACACCTGATTTCTTTGACTTTATCTGTATTTTATAAGAAGACAATAAAGAATAGATTTAAGTTACATATACACAAAAGGTGTATTTTTTGAGTTATAAAACAGGTGCTTCTTTTTTTGGAAGTAAAAAGTGTATATATATGCAGATGTCTAAAGCCTCTTCCGGTTTTCTGAACAGGTAACTTTTAGAAAATACTTCATTTGCATTAGCACAAAAGAAGGTTCTTCCTGCCCTTGAAAAATTGAAATTTTAATCGTTTAAATTACACTTTTTAAATCAAAAATAATCTTTTTCCAAATTCAAATTTGTTGTCATTTTTACTATCATTACATTAGTATTTTTATTATTTCTTATCCACCTCGGTGAAGTTCACAACATTTATTATCAACGATTAAGAAAAAATATTTTCCTATGCAAATTATTATTATTTTTGATCTACAAAATTTTTTTGCAACTTTTCTTGATCAACAATTATTTGAAAAAAATTTGTAGGCAAAAAATTAGTTATTATTTTTTGAGTGGAAAATATTTTTTTTTTTGAATCGTTGATCATAACTTCACCGAAGTTCTTATCCTACTTTAAAATTTTTATGTTTTCACAAAGAAACACCTGTTTTTTTTAGCATTTTTATATGAAAAAAAAAAAATTCAGTAAATAAAAGCAAAATGAACAAAAATTCCATTAGATTAAGAAACGGTTATAAATTTTAATTAAACGGATTTTTACGTTTTAAGAATAAAAAAAAATATATATATGTATAGAGCGAGACTGTGAAAAGAGGTGTCAGACATGGGGAACAGAACCAATTGTTTTTATGGGATTTCATTCATCTCGCACAAGACATCCGGTACCACCCCCATAACTTCCTTGGAATATCGCGTGAGATTTACGAATTCAAACCGCGAAAAAAACCTGGGAACACAACTCCACTTGTTGACCACAAAATTTCAAGTGCAATATGACATAATCATGATTAATCAGATTTTTTTTTTTTTAATTAATGAAAATTACTAATCGATTTTTTTTTGGTATTAAATATTATACAATAAAATAAAATTTATTTTATTCAAATAAATATCCGTTACTCGACTATTTAAATATATATTTATTTTTAAATTATTAATTTAAATACACTTTTATTTGATTTAAATAAAATATTTATTTGATAATAGTCGAGGAATAAATTAATATCAAACAATTTTTTCTATGGTTTAAATATTAAATTATTTTATTATATTATTAATGGAAGAAAAATTCTTTGTCTTAACAAAAATTTGTTAAATTCAAACGTTTCTTATAATAATCTATATTGAAATATTTCTGTTAATTTTATAAAAAGAATTAAAATTTTATTACTTTAACATTCTAATAAAAAAAAAGTGTTTCAAAAATATAAGTTTTAAAAAATCAAAAAAATTTTATATACGATAAAGTCTAAAAAATTAAAATATACAGATCACAAAGTTACAATGGATTAAACAAACAAAAAATTTTAATGATTGATAGAAATTTTAGTAAATAATTTTGTTTTATTAAATGATCAATTAATGAAAAATAATTCAAATAAAAATTATTTAATTCAAGTAAATATTTATTTGATTATATTATTTTCCACTAATCGATAATTTTGAATAGAATAATTTTTTTTCAGTGCATAATATTTTAATTAATTTTTTTTTTTTTTTGATAATTATATAAAAATTAAGACGCGTATTTTTTTTTAGATTTAATTACTCAGTCAGTTGTGCCTTCTATATAGTGGGCAATCGTTTAGTTTTGAATCACGAACCAATGTGACCAGGGAGGAGAGTGAGATTCTAATGCGTCGATTTCATTGGTCTTGTTTAAGAAATTATCTACAGTACATTCGACGAGAGTTGTCTCATGTTTGGTTGTTTACTCGCGTGATCGTTGCGCGCGCGACAATTTTCTCATAGTTCAAGATAATAAAACTTGAACATCAACGAAATATGTAAATTGTTAATTATCAATTAATAGTTTTAATTTGTCTTATTAATTTTATGTCATCAATTAAAGAATTATATTCTGCAATTTATAGTTAAATTTCTCATCGTCAAGTAATTCAGAAATTATTACAATTTTTAAATTAAACTTACTCATATGTCTGCAATATATTTCTGTTTTTACTAATTTTTGCCAAATTTGAAATAAATTTATTGCCACAATTATTATTGTTATTGTTGTTATATGTAATTAATACAGAAAATTTTTACAAAAATTGTATTATTATTATTATTTATATTCCTGTTATTATTAAAAATATTTTATCTATATTCTTATTTTGTTTATTACGAAATTAAAAAAATTTATTACAATGAATTATGTGGGTATTAAAAACAAGTATTAATGAACAATAACAAAACAACATCATTATAAAAATATGATAATTGATGGCAGACATCTTTATCTTATCAAATCATTGCAAAAAAAAAGTATCCTAAAAATATATTTCAGATCAAACTATTTGCATTAATCAAATCAATTGTTATGAAATACAGAAGAAAAGAACAATGAGAAAATGAAAATAAAATTTTTTTCTCATTAAATAATTGATTATTTGTATCAAATAAATTTTGTTATATATAAATCATTGGCAAAAAAATAAAATAATCAGTAAATGTAAATTATAATGTGCATTAAAAAAAAATATATATTAAAATTGAAGGAACACATTATTATATATATGTAATATGCGTATGGGGGGATTCCGATAAGATACAAATGTGTTGTCAAAAAAAAAAAAATTGTCAAAAACCTTGAATAATTGAATGATGATGTTATTTAACTGAAATTGATTTCATTTATATATTTTCGTCTCACACCCAGAATGACATTATCAATTTTTTGATTACCATTTAAAAACATCGCGTTTTATTTTTAAGTATAGATTCATAAAATAATCTTTCACAAATTAATCAATCGACAATATGTAAACAAGTACATATGTATTTTCATGATGAAATTATTTATTTTTAGAATTTTCGTTAGATTTTAAAGCATAATAAATATAATGCAAAAATAATTATTAATTTCTCACTGCTTTATAAAAATTTAATTTGAAAAAAGGAACAATTTTTCTCATCAATAGAAAATATATGAGAGATTAAAGATTTTAGGTTATGTTATTTTTTTCATTGTCAGAAAATTGTAAAAAAAAATTTATTTTATCAACGTCAATGATAAATAAAAAATTTCGTTCCATTTGGAAGAAAACAAATATTTATTTTGACAGAATTAACTTTGAGGTTAGAAATTTATAGTTCGAAACTAATAATTATAAGAAAAAAAAGAATATAAATATTATATGTCAATATTTTAAACAACAACACACAAAATGAACTTATACTTTCAATAGAAAAACGATTCTAAAATATCTGGATAATTAAACACGTGTATACCGGCACGGCACCGGTAACGTGTGTGTACTTACAAAATCTTGGAAATAATAATTGATGAACTAACAATAAAATGGTCTTCGAAATTGCCACACACAATAATAACTTTTCCTTCTTAAATGAAATAACTTCTTCAATGAAACTAATGCACTTGACACTTATAAAAATATCCAACAAAACAGAAGCCATTTGACGATGTTCGACCGTTAGTATTAGCTGTATTATCCATAGTGAACGTCAGGAGCGCTACTCTCGCGTCACGTGACTATTTCACTGATTGAAGTTGGCTTTGTTCACATAGGACAAATTAGCAGAATAAACGTCAGCCAATCAAAATTTAGTCTCTCGCGGCAAATACAAAATACTCTTTTTTGATTGGTCGACATATACTTGGCTAACCTGCTAATTTGCTTCATGCACCATTATGTGCATTCACACCAAAAATTTTCTATTTTATTTGAATTTTGCGAAATACAAAAATTTTAATAACTGATATTTTTTGCACAATCACACTGAAAGAAATTAGAAGTCAAATAACTAAGTCTCAATATTTATATAATAGATAAAACTTTATCGAAACAAAGAAATTAATGAATAAAAAGAAATCAAATTCAAATAAAATTTCTAATTTAAACTTGTGGAAGAATTTTTTTTTTGCTCAGAAGTCATCATCAGCTATAATAAATAAAGATAAAAAAAAACATCGGAAAATCTCAGAAGCAAGATTGAAAATTGGAATCCCATCCTGAACACACTATTCTCTCTCTCTCTCCATATTGTCAACAAATGTCATAAAATGATTAAATGAGATAAGATAACAAATAAAAAAATTAGTTTCTCATATTATATATATATATATGTATAAAACGAGGGCGTCAAAGTGGCTGATGCCGAGGCTGCTCTGATTTCGCGTGAACCACATGCTCTCATGTTGAACCGAGTGTATACACAAAAAGTGGCGGTTATTTTGTATCTTTGAATAGTGGGAGAACGTAACTTACCGAACAATGACGATTCTAACCGAAATGTTTGGAGGCTTGGACGCTCGCTGTTTTCCTGCGCAGGCTTCAGTCGCTTGTGAGCGCTTAGCACGTGATTAACGTGATATTCACGCTCTTTTTCGTTGTGCTTATCACGCACACGTAACTGCGCAATCGGTAGTTCAAACGTTTATAAACATACACAATTAAGCCCGGGAAAACTTGGATGTCTATAAAACATTACAATTATCAATGAAAATTCATTGATTTATTGAAAAAGTTAATTGGAATTTTATGTTGTGCGCGGCCACCTCCCTACAACCTCGTGTGGTGAGAGTTTCACAGCATATTGTTGGTTTTGGGCCGTGTGCAATAATCGTGGGAAAACCAGTGAAAACTTTATTTGTGATTAATTTTTGGAAAAGTTTAATAAGAACTTGTGCTTCGTCATTGTGACGACTTTGGAACCCCGCGTTTATGCGCCTTTGAATTTGAATCATATACACACATCACTCCATCTTTCTCATATACACGCAAGTGCGGGCGGCGTTGCCAGATCTAAGTGACGAGTTTTATAATTTCACAATTAGTGAAATAAACACGTATCACAAGTGGAGTGTATGTTTATTTGTGCGCAATTAAATGTGGATTTTTGGAAAAAAAAAATTAATTTTTAGTGTTTTATTGAGCGGTTTTTTCTTTGATCGCATCAAAGGAGATAACAAGTGTTAAAAAAACAAGACTCCACGCTGATGAAAGGTCGACAGTGTTGCCGTCCTTCACAACCGCGGTTCTTAAAGACTTTCCATGAATCTTCCATCTCTCAAAGACCTCGTTTATTCAGTCGAAAAAGCGATTCCCGCCATTTTTAATCTTATGAAATCGTGTTGAATTTTTTAAGAGACGCTACAATCATAGAGCACATTTTCTAAGGGCTATTTTGTCTGCAGAAAATTTTATTTGTTAATTTGATTCAAATGCAGTGGGAAAATATTTATTTACACCGAAATTTAAAGAATTTTTAATAAAAAAAAAACTTTAACGTTAATTAACGTTTTTTTGGTACTACGAGATAAAAAAAAAAAGTAAATTTTTTTTTCTCAGTGATAAATATGAGCGCGCGAGTGTTAAATCCGGCAATGATGACGGAAGTGGGTCGTAATCTTGGTGGTGCACGTGCATCACCAAGTAGAGCAGCATTGGCCCGCGTTAGGAGGGACTTGTTTGGTCCAGTTGATCATGCAGCAGCCAGGGCACTTGCCGAGAAAGAGCTTCGAGCACAATCGATTCTCGATGCCGAGAGATGGGGTTTTGACTTTCGTCTAGAAATACCCAAGGATAATGATCGTTACGAATGGGAAACAATCTCCTCTCAAGAAGTGGTCCCGGAACCTTATGCGCTTCGGGGCATGCCCTACTTGCGTAAACATGCGCCGGCGACTCCAAGAAAACATGCTTCTCCAAGAACTGTTCGCCAGGAGTCGAGAAGTTTCATCTCGTCAACACCTATTGCGAATTTTTCTGAAAATGCTGAGAGAACACCACCTCAGGAACCAAGAGTACCAGATATTGGTGATACGACATTAGAAGAAGTCACTCATGTCACAACAATCACTGAAATATGCTACAAAAATGAATGCATTAAGGAACCAATCACACCAACACTTTCTACCACCTCAAGGAAACAGAGTTCCATTACCGGTAAGAATAAATTTTCCTGTTTTTTTTTGTCAAATTTATTTAAAACCGACCTGTACTGTTTAAATATTTAAATTTTATTTATTTGCCAGAAACGATGCTTACTCACTTTTGCAAATTAAATTATATTTGCTTTTACTTCACTATGTAAATTTCGTCCAATATAAATAAATATATATATATATATGTTTCTCAACTTGTCAAAATATTTCGATATCTAAAGAGAAAAATGGACTAATTTCATATCTTGTTTTTAATTAATTCATGTAATTAGTCACAGATTAATTCGTTGTATTCAAAATTAATTTATCTTTAGAATTTGCAATTTTAATTTACTGTAAAAAATGATTATAAAGTTTTGTATTCACAATTAGTATTATGCATTATTTTTATTTGTTTTGTCAAATGTTATTAATAAGAGAATAAAAAAATTAATTGATAATTATAATGTAAAAAACGTTTCATTGCTGATTGAATCTAAATTATTTTATAATTGCTCCAAATTTGAAAATATTAAAGAAAAAATATTTGAACAATTTTCAATAATAAAAATTGTTCGAGAATAATCTAATGAAAGAAACATTTCTTTGTTATTCTCGAACTTGTTTTTATTGAAAAATGCTTTAATTATTTTTTTTTAAATACGTTTAAAACGATTTACGTATTCATTAATCAATTTATGATTGTATTAATTTCGAAAAAAATGATTGTCTAAACATTAAAAAGTTGACGAATATAAAATTTTCTTTTTTTTTTACATTAAAACGATTAGTTTAATATAAGCTTAGTTTAATTAGACATTAGCGAATCTATATTTAAACTCATTAAAACTATTTAAGTTGTTTTTATTGATAATTTTAAGTAAAAGTTACTATTGAAAACAATTATAATGCTTTAAAAGAAAATTATATCGTCATTTGTCTTATCAGTGTGGTGAAAAATGGTATAAAATTAACCAAGAAAAAAGAGAACTTTGAAAAAATGGTTTTAAATGAGCAAAAAATGTAGAATATTGTAAAAATTGAAAAAAAAATCATTTTTGCGTTTCAATTTTGGGGTAAAATTTAATATTCGCTAAAATTAATTTTTCTTTTAATTCTACTTTGATTCAATATATATCTTTTGAGAGAAAGTCAGGGTTCAAAAAATAAAATATTATCGAATGGTCATTCGACTAAGTGTATATCTCATATGTAATGCAAGAGATTCGATTATTAAAGTATAAACTAATATATGCCTTGCAACTGTAATATCTCTTTTTTTTCAGTATAATGCATTGTCATATCTCTCAATATTTCAATGTATTCTTTCCATTGTAATCTCACACACATTTTTATAAGTTAATTACTGCAAATCTGAGATTTACTGTTGCAACGACTATATTATAAAGATATTGACTTGAAAAAAACATTACTGCCAAAATACATAGGAGATAATTATTAAAAAAATATATATATATTTCGCAAAGAATAATGAATTTTTCAATTTAAAAAATTCCAATTAGAATTGATTAAAAAAAAACGATTTACTGGATTTTCTGAAAACGATCAATATTCAGAGAAGCTATTTGCAAAATAATTGGCGATAACGTTAAAAGGTTTTAAAATTAAAAAAAAAAATAGCGATATTTTAAGATTCTCGTCCTACCTCACTTTCTGTTGATCTCTTAATCGAAGGCCAAACATTCCATATGTTTAAAACTTGATGTTTTGTTAAAAGTGTGTATAAATTGCCATAAATTCCAGTTGGGGGAGAGCTGAAATCATAAAAAAAAACGACTATCTTCAGTTTGCATATTATAAATTTAGATTTCGCGCTTGATTTCTTATTTCAATAATCGGAATAAAAAATGAATGTCTATAAATTTTGCAATATCATTGATTGTTTGCTTTTATTTGTTTCATGTTTATTTATTGGAATTATTAGTCATTATTATAGAATTTGGTTCTACTAATCTGCAACTACCACCCCCCCCCAAGTCTTTCATTTCGTTTATTATTATTCCGCGTGCACACCACCCACGCGACTCGACTATTTCTGTTCATGACATGGCGAGCATCCCGCTTTCAAGAGTCTGTATAAATCCTGAACTTTATTTACTTATATACATATACATCAGGCGATGATCAACACGCGATGCCTGTGTTTACATTTTAACGTCTGAAACAACCCTCTTAGCAAAAAAAAAAAGAAAAGTGCATCCTCTCCAATTTGCCGGATGCACTTAGCCATCTAGAAAATAAATAAAAAATAAATCCTAATCCAAATTTAGAAGAAAATATAAAAAACGATTCTTCCCCCCCCCCCCCAAAAAAAAATGATACACAAATCCATAATACAAAAAAATATTGACATTTTACCAATTAAGGGTGTTTCAAAACTGAAATATATATGGGGAGTATTTTTTTGAAATTCACACAATATTACCTAATTAGACATCAAAAGCGTTTGAAAATTATGTCACTTTTAGTTTTCAAATTCAATCGAGTAGAAATATATAATAAAATGAAAAAAAAAGAAAGGGAAAACTCGTGCTGAAAATTGAGGAGAGTGGTCTATGAGTTTCAAGAGGGTGCGAGAGAATAATAGTGAAAATGATTCTGGCAAATCAGTCGCGTCTCTTGAACGAACGTAAATTACGCGTACCAAAAATACTTTCTCAGATGGATAGGGGTCGGGTAGAGAATTTTTCGTAACGTATTTTTATTAATGAGAAGGACGTCAGCTGTTACTATCCATATGGGGTTGCTGCCCTCGCACTTTTGCACCCCCGTGACGGACTCCCCCTCCTGCACCCAACGAACATGGGGGTATCAGCTGTTTCTATATAAGTTGAGTCTTCGTTTGGGGTGATAGTGTACAAATATATATATATGTGAGCATTTTGGACAGAATGGCATTTAAAATCAGGGGGGAGTATTAAAGGTACCGTCTGCGCTGACACTATGTCTAGTGTAGCCAGTGGCATTAGTTGCAACCTTGTAATAATAAAGATGCGTCTAATGATAAAAAAAAAATTCAAATTTATACACTCACTAGTCCGTATCTTGTCTTTTTTTTCGGAATGCATAATCAAATGAAGACAAAAAAAAAATTTTTATTCAGGGACTGATCAACGTTTTTTTTTTGCCGTTTATTATTTACATTTTATTATTAATTTAATTTTCTCCAAATTATTTATTATTAATTTTATTTTTCTCTCCTTATTTATTTATTATTTATAAAAAAAAAGGAAAATAAATTTTCCAAAATTTTTTCTCCTTTAATTTATAAAATTCGTTTTTTTCAAAAAATTTTCAAATCTCTTCATTTTCTGATGTAAACTTTAATAAACACGTATTGAAATAAGATGAATGACTTTCGGTTAAAGGGGAGGGGTAAAAATTTGAATTTACATGCGGGTTCAAATTTTTGGGGGGGATTCGCATCTCTAAGGGTCATCTTTTTTTTTTTTCCTCCTCAAGTTGTCGCGCGTGCTCTCTAAACATAAGGGTTAGAAAAATATAACAGATGTTGAAATTCATCAAGGAATGTTATCGTTGCAATAGGGTGCATAATATTTTTATATTTTTGTTTGAAAACAGTCGTTGAGGAAAAATAAAATTTTTTTTTTGCCGTTGATCGATGACGCAGATAAATTATTTATGAATATGCAACTCGAGAATGATATTGATGGCGAATCGATGTCACAAATGTCAGAGGCTCATCCATTTGTAATCAGACTTTGATTACTTTTAAGAGTGGACAAACGTTAAATTAACGGTTTTTTTTTTATTATAGGCGAAATAAAAAATTTACTGTATACAAAAGGGAAATTTTTAGAGCGAAAAAAATGGGTATCAAAAACTAAATATTTTTAATAATAATATTATTATTATTAAAATATTATTAAAAAGTTTCCCTTTTTTTAATATAATTTTCGTAATTTTAGAAAAAATATATATATTTTGAATTTTCTTGAATTAAAAATTTGTATATTTGTTTGTTTCAGATTTTATGAAGAGTCGCAAACGCACGATAAATGGGATCACAAAGAGTATGGTGGAGCCACCAGAGAAAGTTGCTCGCAACGCGGGTCAAATACGCAGCTAAGCGGCGCTCAGTGTTCCATCTCCTCTTGTTCTTCTGTTCGGTTTTATTTTCTATTTTTTTTTTTTTTTTCCTTTTTTTGATTCTCCTCATCTTCTCTGCGTCGAAGAGACAAACAAACGCGCACGCGCAATTCGCCCACACTTCTTCGACTCAACAAGAGGAGGCAAAAGCAAGATGGGACAGAAGCGCAAGGTCCTTTGGCTGTGCCATTCACGTAGCGTAGCGAGATAAAAAAAAAAGAGAGAGAGAGAGAGAGAGAGGAAAATGGAGTGACTGTGTGAAAAATGAGAATGCATCAATATTATTCTCTTTCAATTTATAATAAATTTTCGAAATAATTTGAAGTTCACATTTATGATCAACAATTTAGAAGAAAAAAATATCTTTCCATGCAAATTATTATAATTTTTTGATTAAAAAAATTTCTCTATCAACAAATTTTTAAAAAGAAAATTTTTTAGACAGAAAATTAATTATTTTCCTAATGAAAAATATAATTTTTTTTTTTCAATCGTGGACTTCATTGAGGTAAATAATCGATTTCTAATTGCACAATGTGTAAATTTAAAAATTATGTTATTTTCGTTAATTTTGGTAATTTTTTTTTTAAAAGAGAAGAAGAAAGAGAGAGAGAGAAATGTGAGTAAATGAGAGAGAAAAAAAGCTTTAGATTTAAAAATCCCAATGGTCGTCATAGAGATTTGTTTTTCTTTTTTTTTATGGAAATGGTTTTAGACTTAAGTCATCAAAAAATTATTATTTTCTTTTTTTTTTTTTTGAATTGTCTGATAATGCAAAAAAAAAAAAAATGCATCTGACTCGTAAATTGTAAGCACGCGCGCCGAGAAAGAGAGTATATCATCAACGCTGAGGAGACGAACGTGCGAACATAGATTAGATCAAGTAATTGAAATAAGTTAAGGCAAAGAGTATATTGTATTTTTATCGCTTCTACAACAGGCCTTGGGAAGTGGTCGAGAGCAGTGATCATTTATTTTTATTTGTCCGAATGCCTTCTAAAAAAGGCAAATGGAGAGAGACATTTACGCGGTAACGGGGGAGGCAAAAAAAAAATTTTTTTTTTTTTTATTATTTTCTCAAGTCTCGATGACGTATTCGATGTTTATTTCCTTGAATCATCATCGAGACGAAATTATACATTTTCGCGTCATCAACGACATTATAAATCTTGTAGTTGACGCGAAGATAATATATATTTTTTTTTTTCCCTTGAAGTTTTCAAATTGTGATAATTTGTGAATTTCAAGGAAAACACCACTTTAAAATGAAATTGTCGGAAAAATGGTGTGAGAGATAAGAAAAACAGTAGAGTCATAGACGTCACTCTTTTTCTTGTCTCCCATTCTTAGTAATTAATAAAAATTTAATTCACAGACAATTTCACAAAAGAAATTTATTTTTTTTTAAATAAAATACCTAATGAAATTAATTTCATTGGAAAAAAAAATCTGAAAATATTAATAAATATTTTTGGGCAAAAAAAAAATGAATTTTAAAATTTGACTATATATAACTATATATAATAATATAAATTAAAAAACAATTAAATTGTATGTTTATAGATTAATTTTACCCCCGTTTCCGTGTATATTATTTTGTTGTTTCTTTTTTTTTTTTGAATAAGAAAAAAAAAGACTTTGTTTGAATGTGAGTCGAGATGTATGAACCATAATGTCGTTAAAAAAAAAGAATACATTTTCCTCTGTTTTTTATTATAGATTTACAAGAAAAATATTTTGCGCGAGCAGAGAAAACCGCAATTTTGTACAAATTATTAATTGTTTTTTTTTTATATAATGAAATATACAATTTTTGATCTAAATAAAATTCCAGTGCATTAATAGTAATAATGTCTTATGATTTTAATTAAAAAAAAAATAGTTGATTTAATTTTTTTTCGTGTGTGTATATCCCACGGTCTAATTGTTTTAATTCTATTTAGAATTCTGAAGTTATTTCCCTGTGTTGCGCTAGGTTTTTTTTTTAATTTTTGTTTTGAGATTATAGTTCAAAAAATACGACTGGTGGTTACAAGCTATTTTTTCAGGATCGTCTCCCACGGCGGACCGTACAAAATGCAGAACGAAAAAAATATAGCCGATGTGGAGGTTACTTTGGAAGGTCAAAAAAAAAACTCTTGAACCACAAGAGTATAAATATATCATTTCAAAATATTTCAAAATTGTAGTAGATTAAATAGGTTAAAATTTTTTTTTACCAGTGAAAATATAAATTGAAACAGCTAAAATTGTAGAAAAAAAAATTAATTTTTTTTTGAAAAATGTACAATCAACCACCGGCTATGTTTTTTTTGTCATTAATGAATTTCGGAACGAAATGGATGTGATTAAAAAAAAAAAAAAGAACGAGACACCGATGAAACTTAGAAAAATTGTAACACCTATTTCGTTGCAAACCGTATTTGTGCTGACTGTCTATAGGGAATGAAAAAAAAAATAGCAAAAAAAAAAAAAATAAAAAAAAAGTAAAAAAAAAAGTAAAAATATTGTCAATGTAACCCTGTGATGTATTAGTATGATCTCAGTAAACATAATTTAGCCTGTACTTTTTAAATTGTAATTAGAATTAACAAAAAAAAAAAAAAAATAGTGCGTTGTAGAGCAGTCGTTTGGTATAACAGAGTTATATATATAAATAAAAAATATATACAGCTATATATGTGAAGCGTTTGTATATGTATGCAAGAGAGAATGTATATTCGTATGAGAAAAATGATTGAAAGAGTGCAAGATGAATTGAAAATTTAAAATGGGGAGAGCAGAACGCCCAGTGAATCACTCTTTGTAGCAGTGCATAACAACATTAATTGTATATGTATAGATTTATAATAATTGTAAGAGAGTCTAAAAGAACTAACACACGTAAGAAAATTCAACGCTATTGTTTAGTATAAAGTTTATTAAAAAATGATGAACATAATTTTTCTTTGTTTTTTATTTACAAAAACCTTCTTTTGCGTTAATTTTAATATTACTTTAAGTATATTTGCTATTAAAAAATAAAAAAAAAACGGTTAACCTTTAATTAAAAATTTATAGACTTTTTAACTTTAAAACACTTTTTTTTAGAGTTTTCCAAATAATTAAAAAAAAAAAAAAACTATACAGATAAATTTAGAGAGGATTGAAGTTCCTTTAATTTGGTAAAAAAAAAGAGAGAACTGAATTTGAAGGAAATTGACCTCTCTTTTATTATTTCCAATTAAAGTAAATTAAATAATTAAAGCTCGTAGCATCCTTGCCTATAAGAAACATTAGGTGAGTGTGTTCCCTCCTATTCTTTTTATTTTATTCCCACACAAGTAAATTATATTCTTTCAAGACAAATAACTGACATATAGACAAGAAAATACTATATTTTTATTTTAGAATATTATCAAAAAAGGCGTTAAGAAAAAAATTTACCTTAGTGAAAATTATGCAAGTTTTTAAAAAAATTTTATAAACAATTTCTAACTGTAAAATTCATTTGTTAATAACGATAATTTTAGACATTCAATAACATCGTAAAAATAAAATAAATTATAAATAAATAAAGTATATATCAGCAAAATTTACAAAGATTTGATTTTGTCAAATGAGAGTACAATGAGAGAAATAAAGTTCGTTTTTGAGATAAGGTTTTTATCCTCTCGTTACCAAGGTCACATTTGACCGTTACAGAACAAGATTCATCAGCGTGCGGGCCACATTATATATATATATATATATATACCATCCTAGTAGTTTCAACCCTCCAAAAAAAAATCTCGCAAAGAAAAAAAAACGAAAGATTCGCACAGGACCACGTGCACCTGCTGTTTTAGCAGGTACATACATATATATATATAAATGTGTGTACACTATACAACGAAACTCGTTGCTTCACTTCATCTGCACCTGCCGTCTCAATTTTCTCAATTCGCTCAAGTCAGATTCGCAACTTGCGAATCTTTCTTTTCACAAAATACATTCATTTTAATTGCTCTTATTTAGAAACTGATATACTTTTAAATATATATATAAAACTCGTTTCCAAAATATATATGTTTATGTAAAAAAAAATATTCTGTTGTAGTAAATTAATTATAGATATGCCAAATGAAAAAAATTTAATTTCTTTAAAAAAAGGTTCTGAATGCCCAGATTTAAATACTAAAGTAATTATCGATTTTTAGGGAGAGAAAATTTTCGTTGTTTTATCAGCTCAATTTAAAAATATTTTAGCTCAAATGTAAATAAAAATTTTTTTTTTTAAATAATAAATTGAGTAAAAAAACGAACCAAGAAAGTGTTAAGCGAAATTAAGGTCTACTTTTCAGTCAGCCTACGCAAATACACAATAAAAATATAACCAGAAGGTATAAACACCTACGCAAAATCTTTTCACTCTTTGTTTAACAATGGACATATTCACGAGACGAATTTATACTCTCAACATAAACTACAAACATAATTAACATAATATCAATCAACCATGAATTTAATTTTTCAAAATTAATAATTAACTTCCTTTTCCCACAATAATATATATAAAAAAAATTAAATATCCATAAAATTATTTTGCCAAAAGGTATAGAAATTTTTTTATTAATAAATCAAATCGTGGGAAATGGAAAATAATCCTTCCAGCAGTAAAAGAAAAAAAATCTATGAGAACCGTTTAGGAAAACAATAAAATAAAAAAAATTCTCTATTTACACTTTGAGTGTGGGAAATTGAAAACGAGAGCCAAACAGTATCGAATTATCTTTCACTGTGCATTATTGTTCAAAGAAATTACTTGCTGAGGCAAAATTGGACCAATTAGATGGGCCTCTCTCTCAACTTTTTTTTTTGCGCACAATGAGAGATACGGTTATTTCGGAATATTCGAAATAATAAAAATAGCCAAGACCACCCAGTGAGCGGAAAAAACTTAGTAAATTAGAGTACTTGAATTTTTAAGTGTTTTCGAACAGGAAAGCGCGCCTTACGATGGGAATTGGGAGAGGTATTGTTTCAGAGAGGAAAGGTACAAATTAGTTGGCAAACTTTGTGTGTAATCGGTTTGTGTGGATCAACAGTGATCTTCAGTAGGGTGGAACAACGTAAAGTCGTTTTACTTCTGCGAATCCTTTTGTCGCCTTTGGCTGATGCATCATTGCATATCTTTTTTTTTTTTTTTTTTTTTAAAGAACCCCCTTTGGCACAAATGTTTTTCAATTATAGAAGATAATCAAATATTTCCAGATCAATCTTGTTTTATATATACAAAAAAATAAAATTGAAATTCTCGAAATAAAAAAAAGAAAACTATTGAAAGCATTTCCCGTTGAGGAATATTTCCTGTCCTACTTAAGTGACACCTCGCCACACCTTAATTCTTTTATTTACATATATTTCAATCGACTGATGATGACCATCTTTTCCTCAAATTAAATATTTCATAATGTAACAGAACTAATTAACTTTCTTTTTAAACAAATTTTTATTTAACAGAATTTTTCAATTTTTCAAAATTCTAATTTAACCGAATTAGAAGAAGTAAAAGACAAAAAAGATGAGGAATATTCAAATTAATTTTTTTCCAGCGGATGTTCAATATTCAAGGAATTGAAACTCTTTTTTTTAAAATATATATTTCAATTTTTGTTTGACTGGAGTTTCTGGATACTTTGCGGTTCCACAGCTGTTGAACGGAAACCTCAAAGAAGTTTCTTATTTCTTAAAAAAAAAAAAAATGAACGACGGGAGAAAAATTTATCGAAGGAAATGCGATCAAGGGCCACGTGTTTCCAAAACGATGAAAGATAACAAGAAAAATTCGTTTTTCTTTTTCAAGTGTCTATATACGATGTTCCACTTGAAGAACTTGAAAAAGCAATCTGGTCGCACTTAAAAAAAAATTTTATCCCCCGACTGAAGACACCATCCAGTTGATTTGGTTTTTTTTTTTTTTTTTAATTTTTCCCTTATGGATACAAAAATTATTTATCCTATGATTTAAAACTTTAATTTAATAAAGATATTTGTTTCGAAAAAAAATAATTCGTTTACATATATAGTTTGATTCCCCTTGACGGCATCGGTTCGTTAAACGAGAATTCCAAACGTCTTCTTCGCATTGCATAATAAAACGTACGTATACCGTTAACAAATCAGACAGTGTATGAATATACCGTAACGAAGGCAAAAATATACCAAACAAGCATCAAAATATTTCTCCATAGCAACAGGTTATCCTCACTCATTTTTTATTTCTCCATTATATATTTTGGAACATTTTAAAAAACATATTTTCATCTTATGAAATATTTTTTTAGGAACAATAAAAATTGTCATAATTTAAAAAAAAACTAATATTTTTTCACCTAGCCTTCTCAACAAAATCATCTATATATATATATTTACAGAACAATCTGTTTATATTTTAAACATACATTTTCGACATTCACAAAGATAAATGACATCTTCTTGAATGAGAGAAAGGTCATTTGCACTTTGCATGGTTTTCACACAATATTCAAAAGTGTCAATCCATTGACATAATAGTTAAGAAAGACCCAATCATTAATTTTCCCTTTCTCACACCCTAGACACTGTAATTCAATAAATTGAAAGACGATTTTTCAAAATTGAAAAGTCAATCGTATTAACTGGACATTGAGAATGATTGATAGACAAAAAACAGAGAAAATATTGAAAATAAAGTATATGAGAAAAAAAACTGCATTAACTTCTTAATAGACGAACCCTGCACTTGAAGTCGAAGAATACGAGGTTAAATATTTAGTTTAGTTCAGATTCTATTCAATAAAAAATTTAGACAAACATATAAATTCTTCGATTCGATTCATTATAAAATCGACTTTATAAAATTCTGCTAAATAAAAATTGGATAATTTTTAATTTGTCACCATAAAAATTGCAACAGGTCTAATATGAAGAATCATGATCCAGCAAAAATAGAAAAGAGACATTTATAAATATGGGGCAACTTTTCAAGATCAAATGCGATCACAATATGCGGCCATATGTGGAGTTTCAAATTAACATTCTTAGTTTCTGTTTTGCCTCCCTTATATTGTACCTTGGGTCTTCTTTAGATCCCATCATCAAACATCAGCGAATATATATATGGGGGGATCCTTCCGGAACTATATTACATAACTTAGTGAAACCCTTATATGGACGTTTATTATAAAACCTTCATTTAGAGGCAAAATGTGTCGAAAGCCCACAAATGCTGCTCCATTTTCATAATTTCTTCAAATTTATAAGAGAATAGTAACTGTACACTATATAATGTGTAAGTAATAAAACAGATGATTGTTTTCATTTTTCCCCGAAAAAGAACGTAATAAATTCTATTTTAATGGGAGAGAGAGCTAAACCTACTCCAGAAGGTTAGTTGAGATCTTTATTGAGGCACGATTTAAATTAAAATTAAGTACTAAACATACACAATCTACAGTGAAGAAAATTTGATGATTTATGAAATATTAACTTCCTCAAAAAAAAAGAGAAAAATTGAAATTGTTAAAAATAATATTCAAAAATATAGAATTCGATAAAAATTTTATAGACCAAAGATTTTAATGTGTATAGGTTTTTCATGCTAATAAAAGCGTTAAAATCTCTACAAACTTTCATTCACACAGCAATCCAGAAAACTAATTTTTTATAACCAAATTAAAAATGACGCAAAAAAAAACCGAAAAGCCACATTTAAAATTATGGATTATTTTAAAGATTTGATTTGAAGAATGAAAAATTTGATCGATTTTTCATTGATAGGAAATAATAAACAAAAATAATCTAATTTTTTTCTAGATAACAAGTGTACCACCCTATATGCATCTAACGAAAACAAAGATGATCTCATAATAATGGATGGCTCTCTAAATAGGTGTAAGAGATTATTTCTATATAGACGCATCCTAGTGAATTGAAATCAAG